TTGTGCATCAAAAAACATATCAAGGGCCGGCCCCGTGGCACACTTGGGAGAGTGCAGCACTTGGGTGCGCAGCGACGCTCCCGCCACGGGTTTGGATCCTATATAGGGATGGCTGGTGCGCTCACTGGCTGAGCGCGGTGTGGGTGACACCACACCAAGGGTTGCGATCCCCTTACAGGTTACAAAAAAAAAAAAAACATATCAACATAGTAAAAATGCAACACACAGAATGAAGAAAACGTATTTGCAAATCTTACATCTGATAAGGGATTAATATCAGAATATATAGAATACTCCTAAAACTCAGCAACAACAAAAAAAAACGCGGTGTGGGTGACACCACACCAAGGGTTGCGATCCCCTTACAGGTTACAAAAAAAAAAAACATATCAACATAGTAAAAATGCAACACACAGAATGAAGAAAACATATTTGCAAATCTTACATCTGATAAGGGATTAATATCAGAATATATAGAATACTCCTAAAACTCAGCAACAACAAAAAAAAACCAATTAAAAAATGGGCAAAGAATTTGAATAAGCATTTCTTCAAGATACACAAATAGCCAATAAGCACATGAAAAGTTACTCAATATTACTAATCATTAGAGAAGGGCAAATCAAATGTACAATGAGATGCTACCTCATACCCATCAGGATGGCTACTATCAAAAAACCAGAAAACACGTTTTGGCAAGTATACAGAGAAATTCAAACCCTTGTACGCTGTTGGCGAAAATGCAAAATTGTACAGCCATGTGAAAAACAGTATGGCAGTTCCTCAAAAAATTAAAATAGAATTACTATATGATCCAGCAATTCTACTTATAGCTATATACTCAGAACAATTGAAAGCAGGGTCCTGAAGAGATATTTGTACACCCATATTCATAGCAACATTATTTACAACAGCCAAAAAGTGGAAGCAATTCAAGTGTCCATTGATGGCTAACTGAATAAGCAAAATATGGTACATATGAAAAATGAAGTACTATTCAGTCTTATTAGGCAAGGAAATTCTGATGTACGTTACATCACACATGAAACTTGAGGACATTATGCTAACTGAAATAAGTCAGTCACAAAAAGATAATTACTATATGATTCCACTTATATGACTATTCTAAATAGTCAAAATCATAGAGACAAACTAGAATGATGGTTGCCACAGGATGCGGGGGAGGGAAGAATGAGGAGTTACTGTTTAATCAGTACAGAGTTGCAGTTTTGCAAGATAAAAAGAGTTCAGGAGATGGAGGATGGTAACAGCTGCACAGCAATATGAACGTACTTGATTACCACTGAACTGTACACTTAAAAATGATTAAGAAAGGAAACTTCATGCAATGTTTATTTTACCATAACAAAAAAAAAATTGGAAAATATTAACTAGAAACAGCTAATCTATTTTTTTTAAATAGAAAATCCATTCAGACACAAAATTAAGAATGAGAAAGAAAACAGAACTAGAGTAACAGAACAAGTTAAAGAATTATGAGAATGATTAGCAAGACATAAAATAAATGATCAAGAGTGAACCAAAAAGATAAAGAAGAAATAGAGAATGCTGTGGGGCGGGGGAAGGACCCCTCAAAAAAGTCCCACGCCTAGGCAATTTTGCTGGTGAGTTGTTTCATAACTTCAGAGAACACATAAAGCTGATGTTTTAAAAATCTTTCCAGGGCACTGAGGCCAGTGGTAATTAGCAGCTTGACCCACGCCACACCCGTATGGGATTGTTAGGAACATGGGTTGATAAATCCCAGCAGGAGTAAATGCATTACTAGTAATATCAGCAGATTTCAGTTACTTTGGCAGACACATAGTGGAACTTGAAGCAACTAAAACAGCAAGTAAGGGTGGAAATCTTGCAGGGCTGTTAGGGGGTCTATTATGATTCTATTTGAGCAAAACATCACTTTCTCATTAAACTGATATTTAAATTTAAAATTTATTGGTTTTACAACTTTGTATTTTAATTTGTAATTTTTTTTGGTTTTCATATAAAAAGTATAAGCAAAAGTTTATACTTCATATTATGTTTGGATGTATTTAAATAACAGTAAAGTAGAAAAAAGGTCCATACTGAGATTTGTGAGAAATTTTTTCTTTAAAGGGAGAATACATTATTATTCACTTTCAGAATTTCTGCTCTAGGCTTTAGAGAGGGAAAATCACTGTCTTTCCATTGGGCTTGACTTTCTCTGCCTCTTTTCCTCACTGGAATGGTAAGAGTACATGGGAAAAATCAAGACATAGGTAAAGGGGAAAGGAGCCACAGAGGACCTGGGTTGTGTTTCATCAAACCTATTGGGCCTGTATAGAAATGGAAAATAACTCCCTGCAGCTTCACAAAGTCTAGTCCAGCTCACAAGTCACAGGGCTTCCACATGGGGATTCAGAGGCAAGAAAGACTTTTGAGTTACAAACAAAGTAATTCTGCTCTATGTGTCCCCTTTGCATATGGGTCATGAAAACCTATGGCAGTAGGAAGCAGCTGGCTAAGGATTTGGGATCTTGGCTCTAAGCCACCTTTCCTTCTATAACCAACTGCCATGTTCCTGCTTCCCATCAGGATTACACACATTCCTGGACAGAGTCACTCATTGCAGGCCACACTTATGGTCTAACCAAAGGCTATTCAGAAACTAGGAAAGGAATAGATTCAGTGCATTAGTTGTAAGTCATAACTTCTCAGAAGATAATCTAAAAATAGAAAGGGAGTTTAGAAATCACTTAGTCCAACTTCTATATCAATGAAGGGATCTCTTCTAAAATATCCTGATGATACAATCTCTCCCTAAAAACTTCAGTGATAGAGAATTTACCACTACTCTCCACTCTTCAGGAAGGTCTTTTCTACTGTTGAAAATTATCATTTGTTGGGAGAGTCTTCCTTATAATGAAAGAATAACCATTACCCTATAACTCTCCCTGTAGTTTGATTCTCCAAAGTAGGAAAAAAGCCTATTTGTTTTTCCACATGACAATTGCTCTTCTTTCCAATTTATATAATCCCCTGATTCCAGGAACACTTAGGATATAATTTCTAGACATCTCACCTTCAAATTATCCTCCTTCTTGAAACAGTGAAGCCCACAAAGTATTCCAGTGCATCCACATCAGAACTTCATATTTTAGTTCCAGCTTTCTCTTTCTCTCTCATTAAGTGGTAAGTTAACACAAGTAAACCTTACTTTGGGCAACAAATGCTTTCCAAAAAAAAAGGTGGGAAAAAAGTAAATGTAAATAAGAAAATCAATCTTCATGCACTGCTGGAATCTGCTATTTAATGTATTCTGTAAGCAATATGTTTGTAAAAATATCTTTGTAATCTGTATTAAGATAAAAATGTTTTGTCTTTGGGACCTTATATCTATGTTTCCTAAAGGCGAGGTCCTCCTATACCTTATTTTCCTTACCTTTATAATAACTACATGCTAGATGTAAATTCCCTGTTTCATGTAACTCTAATGGGAATGCCTAGGCTAAGGTAAACAGTTTTGCCATTCTTAGAAGTCAAGATCAACTCAAAAAGAAAGTTTTAAAAGTTGCTTGCATTTTTACCTCACTCCAGTTTTTTAAATTAAAAGTACTTCACATCCCACCTCACATAATAGAGTGGCAACACAAGATATGGGTTTAATACTGATTTTAATTACATATTTCCACCAACTCTTGCCAGTCACATTATTGTGGATATCACAGATGGATTATATAACAGTATTACCTTACATTCAAATACATGAAAATTAGGAGAAAGAAAAGGAGAAATGTATAGACTGTATGAGAATAACACCTTAAAGCTCACATTACAGTGCAGTACACTGTAGACATGCAGGCCTATCAGCTAAAGACTACTCTTCTATCACCATCCAGCTGCACAACCTTGCGCAAGTTACTTCTGTTTTCTCATTTTTTAATTATCTATCATCTGACTTCTCTACCTAATAGAGTCAATTGGCTGCATGCAAAAGTACCTTGAAAAATACCATGCAGTGTCAGTGAGAAATATTATTGTAAACTGCTTTATTTATTACTGGTCTTTCTATTTTTAGAATACTATTCGTATTTCAGTGAAGTCGTCAATTGGCTGCATGCAAAAGTACCTTGAAAAATACCATGCAGTGTCAGTGAGAAATATTACTGTAAAGTGCTTTATTTATTACTGGTCTATTTTTAGAATACTATTCGTATTTCAGTGAAGTCAACATTTGTCTGCAAAGTGATTATTTGGGCACTAGTCTTACTGACAATCTGGTATGATTCTGAAGCCAGTGTCTTGACTCTTAGGAACAGAATATGATATAAAGATGTATAATAGTCACAAGCTTTAATTAATAACATGAAATCCCTTCTTACTAATTTTCCAAAATGTAATAATTCAAGGGCAATGATGTCAAGATTCTGTGATACACAAACTGAGAAGGGAAACAACCCCACCAGCATGGCTTAAGTTATTCAAAATACAGTGGTTTAACTGTGGTGGCTGGGAACCAACTTTCACCTAAACTGAAGTTTATTTGTGTAGAAAAACATCAAAAGATAATTACTAAAAATTAAATTTCCCATGAATTCTTAAAAATTAAAACTCTGAGTGTTGTTTCTGAAATGGCTTCTTCAGGAAATCATTTAGCATAGACTATGTTACCCCAAATCTATGGGACAGCCAGATATTTAGGTCCTTCAGGAAAAATTTTTAAAAGAGTCCCATTACTTTTTAATTGCAAAATGACTATCTCTAAGGCCTCAAAATTCAAGGGACAACCTAGATGATATTTACGATGATTAAAAAAAAAAAAAAAAGGGAATGGGGCCGGCCCGGTGGCGCACTGCTACAGTGCACTGCTTGGGAGTGTGGCAGAGCTCTCGCCGAGGGTTCGGATCCCACATACAGACCGGTTCCCGCTCACTGGCTGAGCGAGGTGCGGGCACGACACCGAGGGTTGCGATCCCGTTGCCAGTCCCGGTCCGGTACGGGCGCGACACTGAGGGTTGCGATCCGTTGCCGGACACGAAAAAAAAAAAAAAAAAAAAAGGGAAGACTTTGGCATGCAGACTAGAGCTACATAATTATTAATATCTGGCAAACTGATCTCTATTTGTGCATTTATAGGGTATAACTAACATGATTATTGCAAGATTTTTGGAATCCTGGAAGGCAAGAAAAATAATATGCAAGTAAATCTTGTTGATTTATCAAGTACTGAGTCATAAATATAGTTTTTATACCATTATTACTAGATCAGTTCGTTAGAATTTTTTAACCTTTGGGTACTCTAAGCCTTGGATTAAACCATTTAGAGTAGTTAGTTACATGCACAAAGTATTATGCTTTTGAAACATTCTTGGCTAATCAAAGTAAAAAGATGAATATTACAAACACTAAAAATGAAATCAGGTTTGTAAGAGCTGCCAAATATTTGGGTACCAGCTAGAAAGTATCTTCATCTGACTCATCACTCTTAGGTTTGGTAAGTCTTTCCAGTTCCTCCCCATCCTAAAAGGAAACATACAAAATCAGTAATTAATTAAAACAAAACTAGAAATACAGCATTTTAGTAAGGAAACCTTACTAACAAATTATGGGTCTTATTTCATTAAAATTTCAATATAACCTGGTCAAATTAAATAAATACTTAAATTTGGGGAAAGTTAATTTTATAAGTATAATGAGATGATGAAAAAGTGAAATGCACTCAGTACCTGAATTTCAAAGTGAACACGAGCAAAGTAAGGAGCACCATCTGCTGGTCTTGAGGGGAAATGAATAAAGGTTGGAGAAATAAGTATAAACTAGGACTTTTACCTAAACTGATTGTCTTTTACTTAAAAAATCAGGTACTATCAGCTTGTTGGAAAAGAATACAGGACTTCTGAATGCACATTTTACTTAAAAACCAGGTACTATCAGTGTGTTGAATACAGGATTTGTGAATGCACAGTGGCTGAGATCAGGGCATTTGGGACTTAAGCTTCTAATTTTTTCATCTTAAGAATCTGTTGTATCACCACTTCAGAAGCACTACACCTAAATAAGCTCCGCCATGAACTCTAACAAGCAACAGATTAATTTTCCTAAAGAGTGAAATGTTCATTGTGTGAAATGTTTCAAATTTTGTGTGCTCATGAAAATTGTATATCTAAAGCTAGACAGAGGAGTCTAATCATATATTTAAACATATATTTAACTCCTTAATTGAATCTACAAAAGATCATTATTAATTAATTTGCTAATAACATAACTGACCCTTCCAAAACAATTATAAGCAACTGGCAGATACTGAAAATAACTGCATAAACACTTTTCTAGCAAATATTTTTCTCCAACTTGCAGAGATTCTTTTGAGAACTACCTTCTTAGTGAAATAACCTCTGCCCTTCTGGCACACTGAAGTTTAGGAATAACTACAGGGACGACTTAAGTAGCCAGGCTTTCTATTTACCAAGGCTTCCTAATACAAAAGGTCAACTTCTCTTACAAATGAGCTTATTTCCCCACCTATGGTGAAGTAGAAAGAACAAAGGAACAGAAGTCAGACCTCATGAGTCTGGAACCAGTTCTTTCACTTATTACCTGTAAACCATTTAGCTTGTTTCTTCACTTGTAAAACTAGGGAGACTGGACAAGATAATGTGTGACACATCCTCGAGGTCAGTGACTCTGTAATAGTCTATGATACAACTAACACATAAGGTCCTCGAGACTGTGATTTATACTTTTTCTCTACCCAACAGTATTTATCATGAGCCCTTGCAAACATCAGGAATCCAATGAATGTTTGTTAATTTCTAAAAGTCTCAGAGATCTAACACAGTCTTTGATAAGTCTGTACTGACCTTTTGTTTTTTTCTTTGAATAATCATGCATGAAATTTGGAAAGAACAAACAAAAAGTGGCATCCTTAAAAACTTACCCCACTGGAACGCTCCCAAAGACGGCAACTTAGATCTCGGATCCTTTCTTGCCTAGGTGGATATTCCAGACCTTGAGGCTTGCTGGCATTATAAATAAATATGGAGAGAAGAACTGATGGGGCTTCCAAGAAAAACTCCAGGGAGGGCCTGAAGTCAAAGACCAGGACAGACACTGTTGTGATGATGACTGTAGTGATTTGGGCCATTAAGACATGGAACATGTTATCCAGGAACTTCAGAATGAAAGCCACTGAAAGGCCCTGGAATGCAGTTACAAAGATGAGGGCTACTGAATATGTATTGTGGCCATAAAAAAATCCACAGTTCTTAATCTGATCACGGTTACTACTCTGAAGGCCTAGGGTCAGCCCATTAAAAAGAATGCCAAAAAAATAGAGTTTACTGTTCTGTACGAAGATACTTTCAGTGAGCTGGTTCCCTTCCTTCAATATCTTTTCATTGTAGATGTTGGCCATTGAAGATATAAAACACTGGACTATAATAAGAACGTGGCCCAAGCCAAGACGGATGTGACTGAAAACCCTGGCTGTGGTGTTCCACTCAGCTTCAGGAAAAGTCCATGCCTTTACCGTGCAATTGTCTTTTCCGAGACACTCACTCCTGAAAAGAAGGCAGGAATTAGAGGGGCTGAAGAAGGCATCATGATGAAATCCATGTTCTCCCAGGTTATGTTGTGAAGTTTTAGTCCCAGTAATCAAGGCCACAATAGACAAAAATAAAATCAGGAGGGAAGCCCACTGTATCCAGTTTAGATGCTGCCTGTTCAAAGATGAAAAACAAGATTTTACTATTGTTTTTTTCCCCCATATCAATTGCTTCTATTGAAAACTCAGACAGACACTTGAGTACTTGACTAAATAAACTATACCAAGTTTTTGCTAGCTTTCTCTACAATTCAAATTCAAATTCAAATTTTCAGGAAATCTTTTGGTGTCTCTGTTTCTCAAATTCTGCTTTTATTCACTTTTATAATAATTGTCCCTTAAGGCCATTCAGTCATTTCTTCAATTCAAATTCAAATTCAAATTTTCAGGAAATCTTTTGGTGTCTCTGTTTCTCAAATTCTGTTTTTATTCACTTTTATAATAATTGTCCCTTAAGGCCATTCAGTCATTTCTCCTCTCCCTAGGTTTCTTTTTAATCTACAGGTTTAACTAAGCATCCTTTCTACCTTCAGAGCTGATCTTGAAACTTTGGCACAATAACTTCTCTCTCACTATAAAAATAAGTTATAATAAGGGTTTTCAGCCTGGCTCCCCAGAACCAGAAAGAATATACAGATGAGCTTCAAATATAATTTAGGTGAATTCCTTCAAAGCTTTGTGAAATCTTCAAAGGTATTCATGACCCAGAAAAGATTAAAGAGAAAGCTAGCTCCTGGATCCATGGCCTAATCATAAAGCATTATATGGCAAACTACTGGCTGATAAGGCAAGGAAAAAACGGTATTCTGGGTAGTATTGCAGTTTACTAAGTCCCAACAATGCTTTATTGATTTAACTTATTTTGCCTAACAACAAACTTGTGAGATATAGAGGACATATATCATTATTACATTGTTGTGATCCATTCAGTTCAACAGACACTTAGGAAGCAGCTACTATGTGCCAGGACACCTGGTAGATAAAAGAAGACTTGATTTCCATCCTCAAGGAATTTATACTTAAATAGTGAGAGAACCATGAACCTAAATGAGGGCAATATAATGTGTGACAAGTGATACATGGAACAATTGAAGTACACTGAGGAAGGAACACTTGAATCTGTAAATGGAGTCAGGTATTACTTCAAAGAGGAAATGACACTTGAGCTGAAAGATGAAAAATAAATTAAAATTTATCATGTTAAAAGGTAGTTAGTGGTGTATCTAGACAGAGGGAAGAGTCTATGCAAAGACAACAAGACTGTACATACGATGTTGACAAAGAAAAAAGGAATATCTGACTCAGGTTGGGAGGCCTGTGGTGGGAACAAAATCTTGATGTTAGAAGATCAATTAGTCAGGTGAAGAAGGGGGATACCAAGAAAAGAGAATAACGTAAGCAAAGGCAGACATGTAAAGCAAGAGGTGAGAACCAGAAGTTACAAGAATTTTGATATCACTGGAGCATTTATTGAGCACCTACAGAAGGTCAGGCAATTCCTGCTCTAAGAGAGAAAAAAGTTTTCTGAGGTTAACTGACTTCCCTAAGGTCATGTATTTGTCAGAATGAGAAAAGAATTTGAGCCATGGTTTTGTATGTCTTCCTTCTTGATCACTGCATCTCTTAAGTATAATTCTGAGCTCCCAGGATGCATATATAAGTATAGGAAGATGTGTCTGATTTCACCAAGGCTTTCATAGAGCTTCATGTTTTGAAACTGTTAAAGGTACAGACCAGCCTACATAATGGTACACCTATGCCCACTATCATCATATACCTTCCTTCTCGTATATATAATTACAAAATAACCATATCTAGAACTTAGTGATGGAGCTAGCATAGCCCTATGCCATGAGGTCAGAAACTGTGAACTAGCTGCTTAAGTTTCTGATGATGCTGCTGGTACACATTAAGTAGAAGAAAGCAAATAGAATGGAAATTAAAGTCAGATAAAAAATGGGTGCCCAACTTGCAAAAATCATTACATAATCAGCTATTGTAAATCACAGACAAATGAGGCAATGACATAATCTACACTTCCTTTACAAGTTTCAATTCTGGCTGGCCAGTTAACTCAGTTGGTTAGAGCACAGTGTTATAACTAAATGAAAAATGAGTTATTATGGCAAACATAAGAATGTGTGATAGAAACCTTAAGCTGCTACTCCTAGGTCAAAATTTCATTGACAAGAGCAAAAAGACCATCAAATGATTTACAAAGAGTAGATTAAACAGAGAAAACAAACAAACAAACATACACAACCAACAAGAAGAAGGTCAAAATAGAACAAAGTTAAGTTTTTTAAAAAATGTAATAATAGAGGGATATACATACAATAGAATATTATTCAGCTTTAAAAAGGAAGGAAATCCTGTTGCATGCTACAACATGGATGAATCTCAAGGATATTATGCTAAGTAATATAAGCTAGTCATAAAAGTACAAATACTGTATGATCCCATTTATATAAAGTATCTAAAGCAGTCAAATTCAAAGAAGCAGAAAATAGAATGGTGCTTACCAGGGGTTGGGGGTATGGGAGAAAGGAGAATTGTTTAATGGGTTTAGAGTTTCAAATGTGCAATATGAAAAACTTTGAGAGATCTGTTTCACAATGTGAATATACTTAACATTACTGAACTGTACACTTAAAAATGGTTAAGATGGTAAACTTTATGTTGTGTTTAATACCATAAAAGAGTTTAAAAAAAAGTAATAATATTTAATACTTAAAAGTTACTCTCATAAAAGACAGTATTAGATTTATTAGCACATTATTTAAGTTCTATTATTTAGAGAAGCTTCAGTACTGATTTTTGAATCAGTCAAATTAAGCCTCCCTCAAGGAATTAAGTTAGCGCTTGTGGAAATAATAAAAATACAGTGGTTTTATTGGTTTTTTTCTTTTTAATATAAATATGTCCAAGGATTCGAAACAGAGAGATAATAACAAAGCAAATGCATATTCAAGAATCAATATTACCGTTCTGAAATTAAGAGGTAAAGTATGTAAAAAAAATTTTGAACTTTAGTTCATACGAATGCTAACTATTATTAAAATTAGCAAAATACAATTATATTATTACAGTTAGAAGTATTAAAAGCAAACATTTAAATTTTACAGTACAAATAGATTTGGATTTGGTTATACTAAGAATTAACTTTAATACAAATAGTTAAATGCTTAAAAATTTGACAGGGGATATTTATTATGGGGCAGAGCTAGAGCTACTGTCCAATGTCAAGTCAGGTAATACATACTTTTTATCTTCTCTTTAATAACTCAGTTTTAAATTGATGTAATTTTAACAAAATACTTGTATATTATATAATAACAAGTATAATAGTGTGTGTACTCATGAACTGTCATTTCACAGGAAAAAAAGATTTTACTTTAAAAAAAGATATATTTGTGGACTGGCCAGTTAACTCAGTTAGTTAAGAGTGTGATGTTATAAGACTGAGGTTCAAGGGTTCAGATCCCTGTACTGGCCAGCCACGCCCCCTCCTGGACAAAAAAGAGATATATTTGAGACCTTTACTCCACTATTAAATAGGGAACCTTTTAATTATGTGCTGGAACCAATTTTTTTTCTGTCATGGAAGTGCATCTTTAATTTTATCACAGGAATCAAAATAAAAATATTATTGCTTGCATACACTTTCTCAGAAATCAACCATTTATACTTCAAAGTGAAATTTCATGTTAATTTCAAAGACTTCAAAATGTTTTGGGAATAGTATTCTTTAACTTGTTAGTGAAATAATTTTTGTAATTCACAAATAAAATGAAGAACATGATGAATAAAGCAATGTATTTCAATGTATTATAATATTTAAATTAGACTAAATGTAATTTTAATTTTTTTCTCATCTCTTACATTAACGATAAAATTGAATGTTTCCTCAAGGTAAAAAAAATTCTCAGGAATTTCATATAACTTATGTATTAAATGCATCATAGATTCAATAAATATTTAGAGTACCTGTGTAACAAGCCATTCATCCTTTTATGCACATAAATTATGAAAGAACACACTATCACATAGCATATGGACAAACTTAAAAAGTAAAAGAGATGTAAAATTTAAGAAAAACAACCACAACCAATATAACAACTTAATTTTATCTTTTCTCATCATTATAAAGTAACAACTGGAGTTAAGTACCCATATCCTAAATCATCATGCTGCCTTAGGACAATCTGTTCTTTGCTTTGTAGCAGAACCTATTTACTTAAACATGTTTATACTATTCAGTGGTCCTGGAGATAGTAAAGATTGGTGAAAACATTTTTAAAAGTTTAAAAACCTATCACTCTAATTAATTGTAATTTTGACTTGATTCCTCATACAAATCCTCTGCCAGTTAAAGCTTAAATCATGTATTCATCTCAGGTAGTTTAGTAAAGAATTTGCTACTCTTTATCATCTCCAAACTCCAAATTACAAATGTATTAACACTCTTGGGAACTTGTTGGTTCCCTATTAGTGTGCAAAGATTTTTCATACAAACCTCATAAGTTCTTTGTTGAAAATGTGGCTCTAAAAATTAAAATACCAATTATAACCCAGTCAATTGTCTTACTTTTGAGATGCCCAAGACATTTCATACATTAACACTCTTGGGAACTTGTTGGTTCCCTATTAGTGTGCAAAGATTTTTCATACAAACCTCATGAGTTCTTTGTTGAAAATGTGGCTCTAAAAATTAAAATACCAATTATAACCCAGTCAATTGTCTTACTTTTGAGATGCCCAAGACATTTCATACATTTGATCACAGAGGATCTAGACAGGCTAGCACTGGAGCTACTTTCCAGATGGTTTAAACAACCCGCCCAATACACAAAGCCCATTAGGAACAAAATCCTGACTTTGGGATTCTGAGGGCTAACTGCTCTGAGTATGTAATCTGAAACCAGGCTGTGCCATTTTAAAGTACGATATACACTTTCACAGCAAGTTACTTACTTCAGCACTATCCTGAATAGAAGAGCTGTTGTTATAATGCTAAAATTTGAGAAGATAACAGCCATGGCCTAGAAAGAAAGAGAAGATAGAGTTACAATCCAAACAAAGTACTCACCTCAGAAATCTCCCAGCTTGGTGGTTTATCTGACAAAAAAAGCTTTTTGGTCAAAAACCAAAGGGTTATTAGGGCAGCTATTTCACTGGAGGATTAAATTCCATTTTTACGGCTCATTAAATTTATGTAAGTATGATCAAATAATTGACCAGGCTTTGAAAATATATGATTAAATTCAGCAAATGCCTGTGTAAATAATCTTTTGGTACAGATCTGGAATGACTTATAAATTCTAAAGGTTTACTTCTAGAAATAACAGTTGCTCTACTCGTGAAGCAAACTTTTTGAAACTCTCAAAGTGCTTTATACATTTTTAATACTGTTTCTATGGTGCATAGAAGGCAGGTACTGTTAGGCCCATTTATATGGTAAGAAAATTGAGGCACAGATTTTTTAAGCATCTTTACTGTTGTAGGAATTGAATCAATTTTCCTGGATAAACAAATGCAATTCAATATCAAACATATATGACAGTCCTTTACATTGATTCAAGCTATTCTAAACACTTAGAAACATGTTAACCAGATTTTATAATGGTATGTTTTTGTGAATTCAGTCCTATTTCACATACATATGAAAGCATTAATCTGAACATGTATACAGTTTGCTCACAAAGTAAGAAATTCCATCAATTCTCCCCACAATTGTATCTGACAATTTAACAGTTTTTTTTTAACATGAATCCTGTGATTTAGTTCACTCTGCCTTACTCCTTGCATCACTTTATGTCGATTAATCCCAAAGAGTATCAGTTAGTCTTATATATCTACTAATAACAGCAAACACTGCTAATAAGCAGCTAAATTAAAGAAACAAGAGTAAGTTCAATAAAAACAATTCCAAGAATATGA